AAGAGAAAAGATACTGGACAGTTTGACATCATGGCATGGAAGATCATCTATGTCAGAGTTGATTGAAAGTACATGAGAGAGAAGGTTGTGGATAGGCATGTCAACTAATGCTACACAGCATGGACTATGAGAAGAAGGAGAAAGGAGCATAATATTAACTGCAGGCATCTGTGGCTTGCTGGTTATTAATGTAGTTTCATAAATTGAACACCCTGGTTCAAATCAGCTGTGGATGATTTAGCAGTAGATCGCTTTGCCCTGATTTCAACAGTGATATGAATGTCGTCCATTCAGTAAGCAGTGGCCAACTACTGAATGTTATATTGCCTATTGAAATCACAAACAACCATAAATTGCTGCAGTTGGTTTGGGGCGTCCTGTAAGGGATATGCAACTAATTTTATACTAACTCATTCCATTAAATTAATTCCACTGCAAAAAATCTGATCAGTTATTAACAAGGCAACAAGAGACTTGACATTAATTGATCAAGAATCTTTGCCATGTTGAAAATTAAAGTCGGAAGAAAAAAAAGGTGTCATTATAAATCTGAATGTGCCAGAATGAATGTACATAATATGAGTTTATTTCATTATTAATTAACTAAATTGTGTGCAAACGGTCAACTTTAAAATAATTTATCTTTTGTGTTTTGTATTTTTTTTAAATCTCAGAGGTCAGTAAAGTTTATCAGATGTTGTTTTATTTCACCTTGGTAAAATTTTAAAAACATTCACTAGCAAACGACTCATATTATTCACTTACTCTGTTGATGGTATATGTTTCTCAGTTTCATTTGTTTATTAACCCATTCTATCCCCATTTTTACTTCAACTTGTTCTGTCACATAATTATATTAACTCATTAAAATTGAAAGTAACAACTCCCTGAGGGGTAAAGAGTCCAATGTGTCCTTTATAAGTATGCATAACACCCCTACCATTTTGAAACCTAACTGAGATACCATGAACTATATCTGTAATAGTGAATGAGAGAGTGAGAGCAAAGCAAAGCAAATATTTATGTTTTGGAGACATATTGATATATGCTCTCCTGATATCTGGGACCAGCATTAATGTAGCACAAACAAGCATTTCATGCCAGCTACATTAGGAGCTTCCATAATGAGTTTCTTGCTATAATAATGTGGTAGTTTTCCCTTACTTTCCACATCCACATGGCTTTAGACTATGTCCTCAGCCTTCAAAGATAGGCACATGATATAGATGTCCTCAGCCTTCAAAGATAGGCACAGGATATAAGGTGACTCCTTGAATATAAAAATACATGAGGTGAGAGACCAAATTTCTTTCAGGGCATACTATGATGAGAGAGAGATTCTGTGAAGGACCTGCTACATGATGTTGATGACATTAGGTACAAACACTATCTTTCCATCGCTGAAATGTTGTTAAACTATCCGCATGCTTCATATTTGTGTATTATCTTAAGTATTATAAACAGTAAAAATACCCTTTCCACACCTTTAGGTGTATTAGGCATATTGGGCTAAACCTGTTTTTTATATATCAGTCAGCACTGTGTGGGTTATATGATCAACATAACGCCGGCTGCCTTTACTTCCTATTACCAAATTTAATGCTGGGTCAACCTGGGAGCCAAGTTCATTAAAAAAAAAAACGTCCAGCCACTATCAGGACCTGAACCCTCGACCAGATCTGCAGGTGAATTTTTAGCCACTACACCACAGCGGCTCCCCATTCATAAACAGTGCATGCAGTTATTTAATGTCTTTAAGTTCTCTATCGTAACATCTTCTATTTTTAGGTATGAACTATCTGCATTGGGAAGCACCAGTCAAAGTGATTCACAGAGATCTGAAGTCTAAAAATGGTAAGCTGGGAGAAAGAGTTCCTTGTATTTTTTAAAATTTTATATTTGTACAAGTAACTTGTTAGTATTAGATCATTTTTTTCAAGAAGACATTTTTGAAAGACATTTTGTCACCCTCATTGGGACAAAACAGTCATTATAACAATGGTGGTGTTATGAGAAAAAGAGAGGCTTGAGAAGGTTTGACGATCTGAAAGATAAAGGGTGTTAGAAACAGAGGTTGCCAGAGGGGTAAAATATTTGATGAATTAACAGAGTGGCAATAATATACGCAAAAACATAAAACTGAACTAAATGAAATAATTTGAGAATTGGAGTCAAATTGTGAAGACTTGCATTGCATAAAAGGATCAAAACTTACATTCCATGTAAATCTGTTAGCAGTTGTGAAACTTTCATTGCAAATGGCAAATAGTTTGAGCAGTGCAATGTGCTCTGCTAGAGGTTTGTTTCTACACGCTACATTGCTGTATTGACGAACACTTAGTTGCTAGGACACACCAGAAACGGATGTTCAATTATAGACCTTTATTCGCTGAATCAGACATCTCACTGACAGCGCATTCTTTCGTCCTCATGGTCACTATGCATGGCTGATTTCTGATGACCTGGCCAACTCATTCGCACACTGCTTTGCTCCGATCATATCTCTCGAATCACACATCCATATCAGACTAAAGCCTTGTACCTGGTATTAGTACATGTTGAAACTGGCAATCAGGAAACATTCATGACTTCCCTCGAACAATTATACTTGGTCACAAGTTCTCTATTCTAATCAAGTGTTCTCTCACATACAACCTCTCGCAACCAGGTCCAAACTTCAACTGTCTTACTACCGTTTCTCTGTTCACGACTTCCGTTCCAGTCTCACGCTTTTCTTGTATCCCTTATTCGCTCACCATGGGATACTCAAGACCCACTTATCTTGTTTTTCTCTTGTATCACTGGCCTTCTGACCTTGTCCTCCTCATCGGGAACTCTCTGATTTCCCCTGGTAATTCACACCATTACAATCAGTAAAACACGTTTTCCACAAAGTAATATTTTTTATTTGTGTCTGAGGCTGATAATGTCTTATTTAACCAGTATACAAATGTAGTGAGACATCTGTTTGTAATTAAAAAAAAATATATTTTAAGAATGATGATGGTTATATTTTCTTCTCTCCATCCAGTGGTTATTGCCGATGACTGGTCCTGTAAGGTAAATAAAAACCTTATATCCTATATAGGTTTTATTTAGTCAACTATTTGATTGCAGTGAAGGTTAGCTGCTATGGATCGCCAGCACTTTGTCTCTTGTTTTGATAGTACACTCTGCCTCCTTAACAAGCATGTTGTAGGTCGACTAATGAGGGACTTCCTTCGAAGTTGGAGAGCATCTGCCTGAGAGGCAAAGAACCAGCAGTCTGTATATGAATAGGCCAGATGTGTAAAAAGGATGTGCACACAAAACTCAAGTTGTGGAACAAGACTAAAGTCCACAAGTGGACAAATAACCAGAATTTTCTGCTGAAGTTTAAATCTTGTGAACACGAAAATAAAGATGGAGCAGAGGTTGGCATGATGTCTTTGGACAGTGCCCTGTACATCAGTATGACAGCCTTGGTGACCCCTGCAAATGTATAAATGGTAGACATCTTGGGTGTGATTACTTTTACACCAAAAAAGGTTCTAGTTATTATTTGGGGTGTAAAAAGTAGATTTATGAAAACTGCGGATTTCTTTCTCCTCTTCTAGTTTCATTAGGCAGAGTTTGAGAAGGTAATATAAAGATGTTTGCTTTATGAAATTATAACAAATAAAGGACTTTGTTTAAAATTCTGATTTATTAAAAGAATTAAGTTATTTTCTGCCACACCATTGAAAGAGCTTTGGTCCATTATATTATTAAAATATCAGCATTACTTGAAACTGATTATGATTGATGAACTGTTGACATCACTTCACTCAGGACAAGTTCTGAAGTGCTCTTCCCCCAGCAGTGTGGATGCTAATTATTATTTCATGGATATTTACTTACATATTAGGCATAAAATCTTTGCAGAAAGTTCCATTGTCAAGTTCCCCACTCCCACAGCAGTAATTGAGAATTGTCACTGAGCAGTGTATCACCTTGCACCAGGCTCTGATTTACTGCAACTATTGTAACCCATCTGTTCACCATCAGTTAGTTAGTTAGTTTAGTTATTTAGATAGGTTATCATCGTTGCACTCCAGACATGTCCATATGTGCTCAGATCCTCCCCTCAGTATGAACCCCTGTGTCCGGTGGCTAACAGTACCAGTTCTATGTTGATTAACAAGTCCCCTGATGTGCCTGATGTGTGTCTCATTTTTTGCTCTGCCGATCTTGATTCCTAAGTCTATCGTTCTGGCTAGTGATGTGGATTCACTGCTTCTAAAGTCCTCCACCCTTCCCATTTCTTGGAGAGTATTAATACTATCAGCATGATCCATAGGCTGACTGTAGTGATAGCAGATCCAGCTAACATATGAGCTGTTTCATTTCAATCGACATCTGCATATCCCAGAACGAATATAAAGGTGACTCCAAGCAAAGTGGACTTCTGTAATGATTCAAGCCATTGCCTTCATACCGAACCTGCCTGAACCCTCCTGATCATAGTCATTGAATCACCGAGTACACATGCACTTGTGTAGTTTTGTGTTTCGAGCCACACAAACGCTTGCGTTACTGCCATAACCTTCATTATCATGCTGCTGGTTGTCATGGAGATGACGCTGTTGGTTTCTTTGACTGTTCTGCACTCTGAGCTTGCTGTGAATGCCCATGCGCTTCTTTGTTAGCATATAACAGATCCGTCTGTGTAGATCAATACATCTGCCTCGTCTGAATTTTCACCGATGAGAGAGAGAACCTCTGCATTGACAGCAACAGGATTCTGCTCCCAGCATTGCCTGTTGAGTGTGGCAGTACAGGCAAATGTGCAAATAAATGCACCATCAGTATTCCAGTCTGAAACATGTACAACTATAGGTTTCAGCATATGTTGTTGTGTGAACTGTTACTGAAACTTCTGTAAATTATGTCACGATTTCTCTGTAACAGTTATGTGATTTTGGAGCATCAAGATTTATTGGCAGCACAACTAAAATGTCTTTAGCTGGCACTTTCCATGGATGGCACCAGAGGTAAAGAAATTTGTGATAATTTGGTCATATATTTTACACTTAAATCATAATCATTTTAGCATCTATTTTTGGTTTATTATGGACGTTTAAAATAATGCCAGTGTGTTGCTGGTACCCTTGAGGGAAAGAAAGAATTCCAGTTTACCATTTCTACCAATAATGTTTATCATTTGGTTAAATCTGTGCACAGTTGGGATTTAGAAGGCAGGAGGATGAGGAAAGAGAATGAGGAGGATAAGGAGAAGATGGAGAACGAATGAATGAATGAACAAACTTTATTTTTAAAGGGTCACAAACTGGGCACACTGGGAAAGATGGGGATGCCACATAGGGGGGCACAAGGAAGTTTCAAGGTAGGGGGGGGGGGGGGGGGGGGGGGCAACAGTAAGTTTTGAAATCGACTGCGTTTGTGTTTAGAATAATACGTTATATTAACATTTGTGTTTCTCAGTTTGATTATTAATAATTATGAAGAGGTCTGGGGTTCAGGTCATTTATTCAGAATTAATGTTTGTAATTTTTAAAATAAGCAGACAAATGTTTTTAGCTGCAATTTTATCTTTTGAAATTGGAGTACAGGGATGATTGGTTCATGTTTTAGACACAATTATTATTATCTTTCAGTTCAATAATTTTCTCAAATTATGACCAAACAGGTAATTCAGAGCTTTCCTGTGTCAGAATCCTGTGATACCTGGTCATATGGTGTGGTAAGTAGTCATGTGTTGTTAATTTACACATCTGTTGTTTAGCTTGACTTCCAGGTCGGCCCAGCTGTGAGTGGGTACCGGGTGCAGTCCCTGGAAGTGAAGGCGGCCCGCGTGATGCTGACCACATCACCCATCTGGTGCCATTTGGTCTATAAAAATATAGGTCTAGTCCTATATGCCTTATACATCCAAAGGCGTGGAAAAGGGACCTTTACTTTACTTACTGTTGTTCAAATGTTATATCTTTGTTTGTGGGTTCTGTGACTGCATTTTTTGGAGAAAAAAGAATAGACCCACTACCCACCGAACAAGTCTATTAATTAAGGTTATTCTGTTCAAAGTTAGAGTGCATCTGCCTGAGAGGAGGGAAACCAACAATCTGCATACAAATAAGCCAGATATTTAAAATGAATGTACAAGCAAAATTTAAGTTTTGGAACAAGACCATAGTCCAGAATGGGACAAACAACCAGAATTTTCTTACAGAGTTGACAGCTGGTGAATGCTAAGAAGAAGAAGAAAAAAAAAGTGTTACGACAGAAAGGGACTTAGGGGCAACAGGGCATTTGATAATCAGATGAGATATTTGAATGTTTCAGGTTTCTTACTTAGGAAATTCCGACTAGTTTTGGGATGAGTATGGTGGCACTTAAGCACTGTTCCATCGACTTTTAGCTGTGTTTGCTTCTAAAGAAAATAATGCTTGGTTTAAAACAGTGTTTCACAGTTATGTGAAGTTGTGATCCCCTTCTACCGAAGATATCTTGACCATGAAAACTCACAAGACAGAGGAGTTGGCAAGAGACGGACGTCATTCTGGCAGGGTCTGATGGGGGCAACATTTTGCAAAAGACTTGTTAACCCTTTCACCTTGAAAAAGCAACAAAACTGGCACTTTTAGTGTGAGCTATACCTCTGCAAATGCCACATAACAAGCACAGCTACAGTGAATTGTTTACGAGAATCCTCACTAAGAACCTTCATTCTTTTTGCACATGTGCAGATGTTTAGTAGGTCTGACAGTGAGCATAGTTACTAAAAAAATAGCATTTTAGATCTTTTTTTTGCCCGGCTCGCTAGCGTAGTTGGCTAAACCGGACTGCGCGGTGACTGGGTGACGAACTCCTTGTGATCCGGGTTCATGCCCGGGGGGTAGGCAGAAAAGCCACATTTTCCTCCAGATTTACGGTATTTATCATGGAATCAAGGTCGAAGGGTTGCGATATCCATAGTACCGAACCTAAGGGTTACAACTCATGGCTTCTGGATACTAAAAAAAAAAAAATGATATTTTCTTGTGATAAACTGGCTTTATTTTTACAAATTATGACAACATGATTTCCCATTAGTCACACTGGTCTTGAGGGGTCGGGTCACATGATCGGACATGAGTCACAGTATTACATTTATTTAACATTAGGAAGGTGTAACCCCATTGATTCTCTGCTACTTTCATTTTTACTGATTACTGCATTTCATCGTGACTATTTTTGTAAACTTTGTTTATGCCTGAAAACAGAATTGCTAGAAATTATTTTGTGAACTATGTAAAATGGCATTTTTGTGGTTTGTGTGTGTGTGCCTAGTATTTGCCAAAATACGGCTGATTTCTCTCTTCTAACCCATATATTGAAATGTTCCAAAAATTTCATTTGTCTTTTCCTTCTGGCCATGATAAGTGATCTGTAAATATCCACACATTTTTTAAAGTTCAGTTTTTGTAGGCCTGCAGCTGGGAAATTTCAAAGTAACAAATTGGCAGAGAACACACTTCAAAAGATCAGTTGTATAGCTTTGAAACTAGCTTTGAAACCTGGAGTACAAGGTGACAAAACCTTGTTGCATGTGCTTGAGGGCAGAGTCTTGTGAGAAATCAAAGATGCACACAGCTGAGAAAGGAGAATGAGAAGCAACAACACAATTCATAATTTTTTTTAAATCACCTATAATTTCTGACATCATGAAGGCAAATAGACTGCAGGGTTGGGGCATATATTAAGAATGACAGACAACAAGGCAGACCAAGAAGATGTTGAAAAGGTAATATACAGGCAGGTCTACCAACTTTTGGGGTCATCAACTGGAAAATGATGGGCGATCACAGAGGTTTTTTACAATACAATACAATGGATCAACATTATGCCACAAGGGTATTAACCCATAAGTGCTGTGTTCTACTTCTAACTCAAGCCTGAGTCCGATGAATCTCAGTGCAGTGCACAAACTCTGTAGGATCCTGAAATACTTTAGGCAGATTTTTGATTCCAAATTTTGCCCTTGCAGCGCTGTTAGGCTACTCTTTTTGATTTCCAACTGCCAAGGGACTTTTTACGTGCGCAAAAATACACACGTGCGTACGATCTTACTACCCAAAGACCAGGGGAAATTACTCCAAGTCCATGTGAACAAACCCAGACTTTACCTGGGCCTGAACCCGATACCTCCAGCACCCGAGGCGGACGCCATGCCACGAGACCCAGGTGATATCTGCCTCCATGAACCTCAAAGGCCTAGAATGCTGAAGGATAAGATGAGGAAGTGACTTTGGGGGAGGGGATCTGTTGAATTTCCAGGTAAATATAAAAATAAGAAAGAGCAAGGAAATTTATTTATTTGTTGATTGGTGGTTTAACATTGTGTCAACAACACACACAAAACTTTCTTAAAACGATTGATAATGTCATTGCTTCCTTCCATAAAACTTGTCTGCATTTGAGAAGTTGGTAACACTTTTGTATGTTTTAAAAAAAAGGTTTTGTGGGAATTGCTAACAAAAGAAATCCCTTTTAATGGAATTGAAGGATTCCAGGTGGCTTGGCTTGTTGTGGAGAAAGGAGAGGTGAGAGATTGACTGTGTTTATGATCTGTTTAAAATGAAGCAAATATGCTTGATTGTGCTGCATGTTTTATTCACTGTACAAGTAAGTATCCAGAAGTTTTTTCACTCTACAAGTATAGTAAAGTAAGTAAAGGACCCTTTTCCACGCCTTTAGGCGTATAGGGCACATAGGGCTAGACCTATATTTTATAAACCAATCTGCACATGAACGGTGATGTGGTCAGCATCACGCCAGCCGCCTTTACTTCCCAGGACTGCACCCAGTACCCACTCAAGGCTGGGTCGACCTGGGAGCCAAAGCCATTAAAAAAAAAAGTCTGGCTTCGACTCAACAAGTATAGTTTTGTTGGCACAGCATCCCTGTGTGGGTTCCAGGACCCCATTTTGGAGAGAACACAAATAGACCCACTGCCTCCGTAGCAAGGGGGTCATAAATGTTGACTAATTAAGGGTTTCTTTGGAAGTCAGGATGCATCTGCCTGAGAGGCAAGAAACCTACAGTCTGCATACAGATAAGCTAGATCTGTAAAATGAATGTGCATGCAACAGTGACATTCTGGAACAAGACTAAAGTCTAGAAGTGGACAGATGACCAGAACTTTCTGACAACAGTTCACAGCTGGTGAACACAAAGAAGAAGTTGGCACAGCTTAAGTGGTACTCTCAGGTGCTTACTCTGTAAATTTTGAACAGCATGGGATGCAGACGGGCTGAATCACATGTGGAAATGCACCAGGAGCAGGACTTCTGCTGGCCGAGACTTGTCTGCCTCTTTGCTGTCGTCCTAAATACAGGTTCCCTACCAGGGGTCTGTCTTTGCTGTCGTCCTAAATATAGGTTCCCTACCAGGGGTCTGTCTTTGCTGTCGTCCTAAATACAGGTTCCCTACCAGTGGTCTGTCTTTGCTGTCATCCTAAATACAGGTTCCCTACCAGGTATCTGTCTTTGCTGTCATCCTAAATACAGGTTCCCTACCAGTGGTCTGTCTTTGCTGTCATCCTAAATACAGGTTCCCTACCAGGGGTCTGTCTTTGCTGTCATACTAAATACAGGTTCCCTACCAGGGGTCTGTCTTTGCTGTCATCCTAAATACAGGTTCCCTACCAGGGGTCTGTCTTTGCTGTCGTCCTAAATACAGGTTCCCTACCAGGGGTCTGTCTTTGCTGTCGTCCTAAATACAGGTTCCCTACCAGGGGTCTGTCTTTGCTGTCATCCTAAATACAGGTTTCCTACCAGGGTCTGTCTTTGCTGTTGTCCTAAATACAGGTTCCCTACCAGTGGTCTGTCTTTGCTGTCATCCTAAATACAGGCTCCCTACCAGGGGTCTGTCTTTGCTGTCGTCCTAAATACAGATTCCCTACCAGGGGTCTGTCTTTGCTGTCGTCCTAAATACAGGTTCCCTACCAGGGGTCTGTCTTTGCTGTCGTCCTAAATACAGGTTCCCTACCAGGGATCTGTCTTTGCTGTCATCCTAAATACAGGTTCCCTACCAGGGTCTGTCTTTGCTGTCATCCTAAATACAGGTTCCCTACCAGGGGTCTGTCTTTGCTGTCGTCCTAAATACAGGTTCCCTACCAGGGTCTGTCTTTGCTGTCATCCTAAATACAGGTTCCCTACCAGGGGTCTGTCTTTGCTGTCGTCCTAAATACAGGTTCCCTACCAGGGGTCTGTCTTTGCTGTCATCCTAAATACAGGTTCCCTACCAGGGGTCTGTCTTTGCTGTCGTCCTAAATACAGGTTCCCTACCAGGGTCTGTCTTTGCTGTCATCCTAAATACAGGTTCCCTACCAGGGGTCTGTCTTTGCTGTCGTCCTAAATACAGGTTCCTACCAGGGGTCTGGCCAACATAGTTGGAATATATCTGCCTAAGAGATGAGAAACCCAGTCTTGACACCAGTAAGAGAGATCTGTAAAATAGATGAGCACTCAACACTCAAGTCCTTGAAAAAGGCCAAAGACCAGTAGTGGACAAACAACTGGGACTTTCTGCTGGAGTTTACAGCCAGCGAGCGCTCAAGTCCTTGAAAAAGGCCAAAGACCAGTAGTGGACAAACAACTGGGACTTTCTGCTGGAGTTTACAGCCAGCGAGCGCTCAAGTCCTTGAAAAAGGCCAAAGACCAGTAGTGGACAAACAACTGGGACTTTCTGCTGGAGTTTACAGCCAGCGAGCGCTCAAGTCCTTGAAAAAGGCCAAAGACCAGTAGTGGACAAACAACTGGGACTTTCTGCTGGAGTTTACAGCCAGCGAGCGCTAAGAAGAAGAAAAACAGTATGTTTGCTAATTCTACTCATTCACTCTTGCACATCAAGAAGAGCTGAAGTAACCTCTTAAGAGCTCTCTTTCTCACCATAATTGACAAAGAAGCATTGCGTAGAATATTCTGCCAAATGAATAGAACAGCCGTGAAGCTTTTGTAACTAAATAATTAGAATTTGTTCAATGTAAACAGTAGTTCTCTGACTGGGGGGGGGGGGGGGGGGGGGGGGGGGGGGGGGGGGGGTTGGTGCTGGAGGTCTCGAGTTCAGGCCCTGGTGAAGGCAGGGATTTTATCACGTGGACTTCTAGTAATTTCCCCTGGTTCCTGGGCAGTGAAATCGGATGCCTATGTGCATTGTTGCGCATGTAAAAAATCCCTTGGCAGTTCGGGATCAAAAAAGAGTAGCCTAACAATGCTACCCGGACAAAATCAACCCAAATTATTTCAGGATCCGCGCCGGTGCTACAGAGTTTGTGCACTGCACTGAAATTCTTCGGACTCAGGCTTGAGTTAAAAGTAGAACAGAGCACATGCGGGTTACTACCCTTGGGTCATGATGTTGATCTGCTTTTTAAACCTAAACCTAAACTTATCTGATATTTTTTCTCTGATCTCCCAGCGACTTCTAATCCCAAGCTCTTGTCCACCAAGCTTTAAGAAAATGATGGAGCAGTGCTGGCTGCTTGATCCCAAGCAGAGACCATCATTCAAACAGATCTTGCTGAGGCTGAAGACTATGTCTGAAGACGGTGAGAGAGAAGCTGAATATGTTAGGAAGTTACAAAATGAATCTTTGTTGTTATCTTAGGTCTTTTGTAGTGTTTGCTGGTTTTATTATCATTATCATTTAGCAGGTCCTTTGCAGAATGTTGTTCTCATAGAAAAATAAATAGATAAATCAATCAGTCATCAATCAATCAGTCAGGTGCCATGTCTAAATTGTTGATTGGCTGAAATAAATCTGCAACACTCTCTGTCTCTTGTCTTTGTTGTATTCTCTCAGAGAGCTGTTATTCCATCTCTTGATATTGTCCTTCCACTTGTATCATTGTCTGCCTCTTTCTGTCTTCCCTTTGACTTTTCACTCGAGTTTGGTTTTTAGTAACTCTCTTTTCATTACCAGGCTCTTCAGAACAGTTGAATTTGACTGTCTTTGCTTATCACAGCACACAAGAAAGCATCTTGGTCCCTTCCTAACTTTCCCTACACAAACTTTCACGCCCAGGGTATTCTTCGTATTCTGCATCCATCATCATGGTGGTCAACCATGATGAGTTTCTTGGGGTGCATATTGTGGTAGTTTTCTCTTGCTTTCCACATCCACATGTGGCTTTAGACATGGTTTTATTATGCTGTATATTCTTCTTCTTCTTGGCGTTCACCAGCTGTAAAGTTCTCCTTGTTCATCCACTTCTTGACTGCAGTCCTGTTCCAGAACCTTAGTGTTGCATGTGCATCTGTTTTACAGATCTGACTCATTTGTATGCAGACTGCTGGTTCCTTGCCTCTCATGCAGATGCACTCCGACTTCGAAGAAAGCTCCCAATTAGTCGACTCTTACGACATGCTTGTGGGTAGGCAGTGGGTCTGTTCTTGTTTTCCCTGTAATAGGGCCCCGAAACCCACACGGGGAATGCTGTGTATTAATTTTATGCTAAAATATGACTCCCCACATTTGTGAGGTTCGATACATATCTGGTCTTCCCCCCCACCCCCATAAAGTTGGATAAATGCAGTACCATTTAAATACATTAGTAAATCAAACAAAAGGAAAGGTCCCTTTTCCATGTCTTTAGGCGTATAGGGCATATAGGGCTAGACCTATATTTGTATAGACCAATCGGCACAAGGTGGGGGATGTGGTCAGCCGGCCTTCTTTACTTCCCGGGACTGCACCCCGTACGCATTCAAGGCTGGGTAGACCTGGGAGTCAAAGTCATTTGTGAAAAAAGTCCAGCTACACCAGGCAGCGAACCCACGACCTTCCGATCCGCAATCGAGCGTCTAGACTCAGGGGAGGGATGAGACGGATATACAATCAGACGGTTACTGGTACCATCGGAATTGGAACTCTTAGCTTGCTGCTGAAGAAGGGGACTGAGTACTTATGGGAGTGACCTGAGTGCTGTGATGTGGATTCTTAATTCAACATTCAACGCGAATGTCTAGCTGCTGCTCTATGGCGACTCCTATTTAAGTAGATACACTTCATGAAACAGATAGAGACAAATAGGAAAAAAAAGAATGAGAACAATATGAATGTGGCTTTGATCATTGTTTGTATTAAAAGGACCCTTTTTCTTGACATCAAACGTATTGGGCATATAGGGCTAGACCTATAGTTTATAGACCAACTGGCACTCAATGGCAGGTATGGTCAGCATCACACAAGCTGCCTTTACTTCCCAGGACTACCTGGTACCCATTTAAGGCAGGGTTGAATTGGACACCAAGGTCTTTTTTGAAAAATGACTGGCTCTGTCTGCCAGGAATTTAACCCACAATCTTTGGATCCGCAGGCAAGCATCTGCCTGCTACACCATGATGGCTCCCAATGTTTGTATTGCTGGTAGAAAAAAGATTAAATATTTTTCTTAACCCTCTACTTAGACTACATTTCTGTCTTATTTTTTTGTCTTATACAGAATCATTGCCAGAACTTACAAACTCCTTTCTTGATCACAAAGGTATTTGGAAGTAAGTAGGGGTAAATCACTGTCAGTTGCTTGTTTATCAGTAAAGTATTTAGGATTCACTCCCCAGCATTGGGAGGATTCTATTTTTTTATCTATAGTTTTGGGGTTGATCCAGTTTCTTAAACTGATATACTTTTTATGTTTTTCTTTGAAGAAAGGGAGCGACCTTGATGCAGTGGCTAGATGCTCACCTACAGATCCAAAGTCATTGATCTAAATCTGAACAGGGTAGGAATTTAAAAAAACAAAAATCACCTTAGCTCCCAGATCGACCCAGTCTTAAAAGATCAGGGAAAGATTTAAAACCGAATGAAAAGTATATCAGCGAGCTTCACCATATAACAAACACAAACAAAACGTGAACATTGCGGCTATGGAGCTTTCTTCAGCACATACATAGAATAGACAATACTACACAAATACACAATATCACTTATCTTCGTATCTCGCGACAGCCAGGTCGATGTCAAGACAAAAGTCTGGCGAGGCACGTGGGGCCTGAAAAATAAATATCCGGGGATATGCCAGTGTCTTAAATGAGTACCAGGTAAAATCCTGATAAGTAAAGGCCGTCAGTGTGATGTTGACCATATCACCCAGCGAGTGCCTATTGGTCTATAAAATGTAGGTCTAGCCCTATACGCATAATATGCCAGAAGATGTGGGAAAGGGTCCCTTACCTTTTACTGTGAAGATAAAAGGGAGGGGGGATGGCATTCAGCCTAATTATTGCATTCAGCCTAATTATTGCATGGTCTAGATTAGGAGAAATCTTAACACTACACATCTCAAGCTAGTATTTGTCATTTGACTTCGTTTACCTTTATTTTAACAGTATCTGCAACGAGTGAGAGTAAGAAACCAAACATAGATCTTAGCTGAAAATGACATTTATATTGTTCTGTTAATTTAGTAAACATATTTTTCATTTCCTTATTTATCTATGTTTTTTATAGCAGGGGAACATTTTGTTTGGAAATTTATCTTTGTTTAGATAGTATGTACATAATTGTTCCATTAGTTGTCTTTAATAATTTAGCATGTTCATTTTGTGTTTAATTATTTTTATGTTACTTTAGAATGTATATTTTTTGTTTTTTTATATTTGTTAATTATTGTGTGTATTTTTTGTCCCATCAGTTACCTATGTAAATTTCTTCTGAAGGAAAGAGATTCAGACCACTCTAGAACGTTTGAAACGTGCTGAAAGAGATATAAATCACAGAGAGCAAGAGTTAAAGGAGAGAGAGATGAAGATTAAAGAAAGGGAGAGGTCCTTAGGACATCAGTTTAATGTAGTGGTAAGTTTTTGAGTGTCTGTGAGGAGTCGTAAATAGGTTGGCCTTTATATCGTTCCCCTGCCTGAGTTTAGTGCTTGGTGCAGCCCTGTGAGTTGTGTTTTTCCGGTGGAATGCCTTTCATTTGTGCAGCGGTTGTGTTGTGGCCGGTATGTGTGTATAGCCACCTTATTATGCCTAACTACTTCCTTCAATGACAGACTGCATTTCTGGTGGTGACTGTTGGCTTATTGAAATATGCATATTTCTGGATTGTTTCAGGACTAATTGTTTGTTCACCAATTTTTCAAATGCACCAGTGAGGGACATTTTATTTGATTTTTACTGGCAGAAACGAAGCAAGTATCTGGAAACCCAATTGCAGTGAAGTTGCAAACTCAACTAAGACTAAGAGTGTCTCAGAACATGATAGTATCATTAAAAAAAATATTTTCTGACTGCCCTATCATCTTAATGAATCAGCTATACATAACTGAAAGTTAAGTAAATCACAATGAAAAATAATTATAGAACTGGCTGGATGAAGAATTTGGCATACATAGAGACACAGAGGAAACAGTCTGTAATAGTAATGTACTTAAATACATGGGATTAAAAAAACATTTCCATGTGTGATGGATGGATGGATACTAGCAGGGAGCAAGAAGAGGATCTGGACAGTTTTCATCATGCAGGAGAAAGGACAGACAGACTTTTAATGAGATTGCAACTGGCGCTGTGTGCCAACTTTTCTTTTTGGCTACTGAGAAAGGGGACCGAATGTATTGGAATGCACAGGTGTAGTAACATCTTCTCTTAATTGATTCGTTCACTGGGAACTGATTTTTTTCTGTGATGAATAAAGAAACTCTTAGACTATCAAGACTTTGTAATATTGTACAGTTTATTCTTTGTCTGCCAGGACATACAGCAGCTATTAAAAGAATATATTCTGTTAAAAAACAGTATATTTTAGATGGAGAAATATAGATTCAAGGTTGAGACAGTGAGAAATATGTTAGCTGTAAGACAAAATATTGTCAACAAATGTGAAAACTTTCAAGAGCTATTGAAAGATTTAAATGACTTCAGCTGCTTAAGCTGAAGCAGCTGCTTAAGGTTACTTCATTGCTGAAATATTCATGGTGTGATTGTGGTGAAATAGTTCCCCCTACTACATCGTCCCAGACTAAAATGGGTACCGGGTAATATCCTGGGATGTAAAGGCAGCCAGCATGATGTTGACACCATCACCCATTGATTGCTGATTTCCTTTTAAAAATATGAATCTAGCATCAGATGCCTTATGCAGCAATGGCGTAAAAATGGTTCTTTACTGTTTATATGGAGGGCTCAGTGGTTTGTGGGGTGCAGTCTGGGTGGTCATGCACAGTGCAGGTAAAAAGAAAGACAGTAAAAGAATAAATTCAGATATTCCGTTAAACTACTTTTAGTTTGGTGATGGAGATAGCCGCTGTCACAGGTGCTAGTGCATGGCTAGCAGAACAAAAAAAAACAAAAAAAAACAACTCACGCATGCTTAAGAAGATCCAAACTGACAAACTTTGACTAGAATAGGTTGAAAGCATCCAGAAGTGCCGCCTCAAGAAACTAGTTTGGCAGTACACACTGGGAGGATATGCAGGTGGAAAGGGAAATGAAAGAGCCAAAAGACTGGCCGTATCTGCAGCAGTTGAATGTGGTGCGTTCTAGAGAGTTTGAGACGAAGGAGTCAGAGATAATAAACTGCCTTTTGGAAAAGGGTATTAAACAAGGAAAAGCAGGCAACAACAGGTTGCCAATCAACTCTGACTGAGTATGTAAAACCTGGAGACACTGAGATGACTGCTGGATTGGAGGACAGAGCACAAATGCACCAGACCAATATAACATGTTGATATGTACAACAAGTGACAAGTAACTGTTTATTTTTATGAAAAGTGAAACAAAAATTTATTTTTGAGATTTTCATTATTCTTTAGTGATAGAACCAAACTATAATTTATGTAGATGTAACAGATAACTGTTTCACCACAATCATTCTATGAATATTGAGTTGAGTTGAGTCAATAATTGACATCACAGCACTCAGAGCTTTCCCATCTCCGTCATCATCTTCAGCAGCCAGTCAAGAGTTACTATGAATATACACTGAGGACTTATGATCTTTAAAAATATTGTTAGAATAAAAAACCTCTGTCAGTCACTATCCTCAGCCATCTCCAGACTCCACAAGACGGTCTGTGTTGTAAGTCCTCCAGTTGCTGAGGATGGGTTCTGTCAAGGCTCAGAACCTGGCAGTGCACCTGCCTGATGGGGCTCCCAAGGACCAGCACCAACATTAAATACATTTGACAGTGAATTCATCTATAATAGCGAAAGCTGTTTAACACTGGCTTTTAGTTTGCCTTCTGATAAAGTATTTTTAACTTCATGATCTATTCAGAGGGAGAGTGGGCTCATCCCTACACCTTTACCTCCTTTTTTGTCCTATCCGGTTTCCCGCTGAGGACTGAGACTCCAATCTTCTATTTGAACAGGGTCTTTCCACATGAAGGTGGGGAAGGCTTGAGCAAGAGAGGCTAATAGACAATAAGAGTCCTGTATTATGCTCTTATATTGAATCTTGTATTACAACTCCAGAACCTCTGTGATTGATACAGATTTGCAATTAGGCTGTAGTTAAAGAGCTGCATTTAGCTTTACTGTGATCTTTTTTGTGTGAACTCATTTTCAGAAACTTGAAGACCATGATGTGAATACATGGCGTGATGTTGACGTGGTTGGTATATTTTAAAAACTTCAATAAGCTTGCAACTTGTTATTAGCATCATCATAGTTATCTACATTTAGAGATGCCTAGGTGCTGAACCACATATAGTTCAAACTAGTCCAAATCTAGCTACATCTCTCTATGAAGTGCATCTGCCTGAGTGGCAAGGAGCCAAAAGTCTTGCGCCTAAATAAGCTAGATCTGTAAAACGTATTTCACCCAATGGGTATGTGGACAAACAACCTTGACTTTCCATCAAGTTTACAGCCATTTGTGCAATGTATTGTTTGTTTGCTCATTATCTAAAAGTAACCTACGTCTAGACAGGCTAGAGTGAATACAATTACATGCAATGTATCTTAAAATTAGTTCAGATTAGTCATTTTCATGTTGTGCGATGGTTTCTTGGAACAAATTAATCACAAGTAACCAGAGATTTTAGAAAATGTGTCCCTTCAGGATTGCAGTCTATAGGATATACGGCTCTACTTCGAACGGCACCATAAAATGGTGGCCATAATGGCCATAAAATATCCAAAAATATCCGAACGGTGTTCAGGCCTATCTAAAATATGGACTTTCTGCCAAGGAACAAATCGCGGCAAAACTAGGATTACTTGACAATCAATATCAACATTGCACACAGTAGTAGCAGACGATAAATACCGATCGTTAACAATTTCCAGCGTTTCTGCAGACGATACCAGCAGACGATATTAGTGACCGTTGACCAATTTTGAGACATTACAGACGATGAAAGCGATTAGCAATACTCTGTATGCCCCGCGCCGCTATGCGTGGCGCGGATGGGGACTAAACTAGGTGCCTGGGATGCACGAGTAAAGTAATTGGAGGAAGTTGCAGGAGATGCGGTAGCTGCGCTCATGAGTCCCAGCCATCTAGTTTAGTCCCCATCCGCGCCGCGCGTAGCGGCGCGGGGGATACAGTCAGGCGGTGAGGCACACTCGCAGAAGCAGGTCCGCAAGTAACATATCGCTGAGACCCTGTTAGAGCATTTGTTTCGTTGTACGGAGGCGGCATGTATATTTTTAATAGAACTGAGCCCCATTCTGATATTTTTTGATATTTTATGGCCAGAATGTGGCCAATTTAGCTTTCTTTCGAACGGCATCATATTATGGCCGCCATTTTATGGTGCCGTTCGAAATAGAGCCGGATATACATCTCAGAGACGATAATCAAACAGCTACAATCCCAGAAACTTCCATCAACTGTGCAGCCATATAGCACTTTTATTTTGGGGCATCACATTAGGGTTGTGAACCAATAGGTCATTACGGTCTAAGGAGAATGGGGCTGAGAGGAGTTACCAGGGGATCTGGCCGATGCTCAACACTCAAAGGAAAGAAGAAGAAAGGAAAGGTGACATGGATATACAGTCTGACAGTTAATGGTGTCATCGCAACTGGAACTCTTCACATGCTGCTAAAGATGGGGACAAAGCACTTACGGGAGTCTGACTGACTTTCTTTCTACCCCACCAGGACATCTCACAAGCAATAAACACCTGATGACACAATGTGCCACCATGTGGGTGAGGATCACCGTGGAGAGGTCCCAGAAACTGCATTCAGCCTTTAGGCCATATTTATGGCCAGGCTATATTGCGGCCCCTGGCAAGAGCCAGAGTAGGGCTTCAAATAACGAAAAATTACATCCTAAAAAGGACGAGAATTGTTACATCTGTTGTTACTGATACTTATGGGAGTCGACTGACTGACTGACTTTCTACCCCACTAGGACATCACACAAGAGATAAAAAGCCCAATGACACAAAGTGCGACCATGTGGATGAGGATCGCTGTGGAGAGGTCCCAGAAATCGCGTTCAGACAATTGGCCATATTTATGGCCTGCCTATTTTGCGGCCCCTGGCAAAAGCCAGGGTGGGGTCTTCAAATAACAAAAAATTTCATCCTGAAAAGGACGATAGATACATTTGAATAGTTATGGGAGTGTCCAGAATTCTGTGATGTCAGTTCCTAATTCAACGTGTATTATTAGGAAGCTAGTTGCAACACATCCAGCTCAAAACATCTGATTTCTGAATACCCCTAATTTTAGACATCTTTTGTGACATGCTTGTTTATTACTCCAGCAAACCCTCAAAATAAGACCTTAGAACCAACATAAGGAGATTTGTGATTTATTGTTATTAGATCTGAATTTTGTTTTTGGTTACCAGTTATAGAGTTGTTTTCCTTAGCATTGTTTTGTCTATTGTGGTGTTATTTCCCTTCATTTTTACCCTGCATTTAATTTTGTGTTCGTTGTGGTGTTATCTTCCATTAATATTGTCCTCACAGTTATTTGTTCATTGTCGTGTTATTTTCCAATAATATTGTCCTCACTCGAGGGGCTAAGTGATCTCAAAGTAAGCACCTGCCTAGAGTACTGGAGTCCTGAGTTCAGACCCTGGTGAAGGCTGGGATTTTTTCACATGGACTTCTAGTAATTTCCCCTGGTCTCTGGGTAGGACGATCCGACGCCCGTGTGTATTGTTGCGCACGTAAAAAAACCTCGGCAGTTAGAAATTGAAAAAAAAAAGACCTATTTTCTGTTAATATTGTCCTCATAGTTATTTGTTCATTGCATTGTTATTTTCTGGTAATATTGTCCTCACAGTTATTTGTTCATTGCCGTGTTATTTTCCTATTATTATTGTCCTCATAGTTATTTGTTCATTGCCTTATTATTTTCTGTTAATATTGTCCTCACAGTTATTTGTTCATTGCCGTGTTATTTTCTGTTAATATTGTCCTCACAGTTATTTGTTCATTGCCGTGTTATTGTCCTCATAGTTATTTGTTCATTGCCGTGTTATTGTCCTCATAGTTATTTGTTCATTGCCGTGTTATTGTCCTCATAGTTATTTGTTCATTGCCGTGTTATTGTCCTCATAGTTATTTGTTCATTGCCGTGTTGTTGTCCCTCATAGTTATTTGTTCATTGCCGTGTTATTGTCCTCATAGTTATTTGTTCATTGCCGTGTTATTGTCCTCATAGTTATTTGTTCATTGCCGTGTTATTGTCCTCATAGTTATTTGTTCATTGCCGTGTTATTGTCCTCATAGTTATTTGTTCATTGCCGTGTTATTGTCCTCATAGTTATTTGTTCATTGCCGTGTTATTGTCCTCATAGTTATTTGTTCATTGCCGCCTCATAGTTATTTGTTCCTTGCCGTGTTATTGTCCTCATAGTTATTTGTTCCTTGCCGTGTTATTGTCCTCATAGTTATTTGTTCCTTGCCGTGTTATTGTCCTCATAGTTATTTGTTCCTTGCCGTGTTATTGTCCTCATAGTTATTTGAACATTATAATGTTATTTTTCTGTAATTGTGTCCTCAGTATCAGTGGGTGATGCAGCTGAGATCATCTGGTAAGTGAGGCTAGCAGTGTTGTGATTGTTTGTTTATACCAGCATTATTATCATTTCATCAAGACCTGTAAAAAGAAGATAAAGAAGTACTCAGTAGGGTACTGGAAGATGAGACCAGTCTGTATATTGAAACTGACATTAGCAGATGATGGGGCTCTGATAGTTAAATCAGAAGCACATCTTCAGTCCAACTTACTTGTCTGGAAGGAAGTGCTTAAGACAAGAGAGATGACCATCAGTATCTCCAAAACTAAAACCATGGTGATCTCAAGACAGGAAAAGAAACACCAGATCATGATGGGACAGTGTGCATTGGAGCAGGTCAACCAGTTCAAATACCTTGAAGTTGTAATAGACCAAAATTGAGGCATTAAGACACAGCTGGCTCTACTCAAAAAGCAGCAGCTGGGAGACTTTTCCAGCCCATAAACCGAGGGTTTCTTAGCAAAAGAGAAACTTGCAAGAGGACGAAAATGGCTATTTACTGCTCTATTTTTATACCCCTCCTGACCTACAGGTCTGAATCATGGGCAATGACAACAGCTCACAGAAGCTAGCGATAGGCCTAAGAAATAAGATATCTGAGAAAGGTGGTCCAAGTGACAAGAAGGGACAAAATTCGCAATTAGACAATACAAATCCAGTTGTTACAGACTCGTGTGAATCAGTCACAGTTACGATGGTTTGGACATGTATGCAGAATGAGACAAAATCGACCACCATGGCAGACATAAGAGGCTGAGAACTAAGAACCTGGGAACCAGACCTTCAGGATGACCCAGTGTCCTCTGGGAAGACAACATCCGACAGTCTCTGACTGATAGAGAACTGGAATGGACTAAAGCAAAAAACTGCAGATAGAGAAGTCTGGTGATTTCTATGGCAAACCTCTACACCCCAGGGTAGAAAAGGGGCGACTAAGTAAGTAAGTATTATTATTAATGCTACTACTATAGCTATTTATAATCGTTCCTAAGACTGTCTTTCTCTCTCACAACCCTGTACTTCACAATTTCTGTAAAAAAATCATCATCATCATGTAACAGGTCATTTGCAGAATATTGCCTGTATGTCAGCTCACCATCCATCTTCTCTTGGCTCAATTCAAAACTGATCCTGTAGAGTTGTCTCCTCTTATTCTTTTGTCATCTCACTGAAGCCAGGTTGTAGCCCAGTTTCGTGTTCTGTATTTGTGTTGTGCTTCTCAGGTGGCTTGAATGGTGAATTTTTTCATCTTTTAACCTGTATCAGCTACACCATTTATCCATAATTGTTTTTGTCTTCCCCTTGCCTTCCTCTCTGTGGTATTGCTGTGAAAAGTCTCAAATGCAGTTTGGTCTGACTGCATTCTCAGTAGATGGCCAAACCATTTAATTATTTTTCTGCCTAATAATTCAGTATTCTTCATTGAGTAGTAGCGTTTTAACTAATATTAATTACAGTGTAAAAATATGGGCGCTCTTCCCATATGCCCTATACGCCTAAAGGCGTGAAAAGGGATCTTCACTTTACTTACAGTGTAGAAATGAGTGTTTCCATTGCAGCTAACTTACATTGCGGAGACAGTACCTTGATGATTGATCAATATATCTCAGTCAGAAATAAAGATGTATTGACAGGAACTTGTGAAGCATTTGGGACAGATAATGTGTGTATACAAATTGTTACAGAATTATTGTGAATCTGACACCAATTTCTCAGTATGCTCTTTTGTATGTAAATGGGTTAACTTTTTGAAAATATTCTATTTCAATGTTTATCATTCAGGTGATACGGTTGATCTGGTCCAGTATGCTGAACTCTTCCTAACAAACAACATAACAGGTCGCCGGTTGTTACGCATGACAGAGAAGGATTTGAAACAGATGGGCATTGCCAGTGTTGGGCATGTTATGGATTTTCAGGTAAATATATAGTCATTTTGCTTCTTCGGTCCTTTAACCCCATATGGGACATGGGTTATTACCAAACTTGTTTGGAGTCATTCTGTCTTTTGCCATCATATGCAGGTACACTCGGTTTTCTCCCCAAATTGTTTTCAACTCCTAGCTTAAGTCTTTTTTGTTTGTTTGTATTTGTGGGTCTCTGCTTATTTCTGTAGCACTGTGGGCTCTAGTGCAAGGACATTCCAGTTAAATTATTATCATTCTATAGTCATTATTTTATTTGAAAACAAATCCGTGAGGAAAATAATGAACATGAAATGGTGATGAATCAACAGGAATGAAGAAATAAGAAGTGTAATGTGTCTCCTCCCCATTTAGTCTCCCTCGTGCAGATTCAGTGCTAGCTCTGTTGTCCAGCTGTCACGTCACAGTTCATTCCAGCCAAACTTCTTTTCTCTCCAACTGTCACACATCTATAAATGTAAGTCGACGAGAGTTGACAGCAATTCACTGGTTTATTATCAATACAGCACAAGTGACAAGAATCAACAATAGAACTGATCACTTACACCATTCAGGCAAGCTGGTCTTGCTCACGCTCTAAGTCTATAGCCACGCTTCAGACGATGGACACTGGCATGTACACAACTGGCCTAACCAGCAGGGCATAGAACACAACTGCTGTCCTAAACAGTAATTCAACACAGCTTCGCTCCTTGTCGTTCAGGACTAACGTTCATTCGTTTCTCATCCAGATCCACATTCATACTTATTACTCTGGATTCAGTTTCACATCCTTTCAATCTGGGGTCCAGTCACAGAATGACCATCTCATCCTCAATCCCCCAGATCTTGCACTCACACATGAATTGCTAAATTCTGACTTTTCACCATCTCTCTAGTGAAACCCATGCTACTAGGGACCTTTTCAGTTCTCTCAATCAGCCATTTCCCCATGACCCATGATTCTCACACCAGGGACTTCCCCAATTCTGTCATACCCTGACGTTATCCCTATTTATAGCAACATTACAAGAAGTATCTGTGCCTTCGGGAAAAAGTAAACATTGCAGAGGCATAAATAGGTCATCACAGTCTGAAGGGAAAGCTTCGGCAGAGAGTGAGCAGGGAATCTGGCCAACGCTCAACACTCAGGTAAAAGGCAAGATGGACGTACAATCAGGCTGCTGCTTGCACCACTGGAATTGGAACTCTCCGCTGGATGCTGAAGATGGGGATTGAGTGCTTACACAAGTGTCCATGTCCTGAATGCTATGATGTTGGTACTTAACAAGACAGGGAAGAAGAAAAGGAAAGGCAAGAAGGATATACAATCAGACAACTACTTGTACCATCAGAATTTGAACTCTTTGCCTGCTGCTGAAGATTGGGATGGAGCGCTTATGTGAGTGTCCCGACTGCTGCGATGTCGATTCTTAATTGAACATTCGAGAGGGAAGAAAGAAGATATAGCTCAGTTTTAAAAGACACAAAATTGAGTTGCAGGCTCCCTGTCTGGGTTCTGGGACTCAAGTTTTTGAAGAACTAAGAATAGACCCTTTTCCCCCCTCCCTTCCCCTCAGAATGTCATATGAGACATGTTTCCTTCAAAGTGCATCTGCTTGAGGGGCAAGGAACCAACAGTCCGTGTCAACTAAGCCAGATCTGTAAACATATGTGCATGCTAATTGCAAGTTCTGGATCAAGACCAAAGTCTGGGAGTGGATGAACAATCAAAACTTTCCCCCAGAGTTTACAGCTAAGAAGAAGAATTACAGGAACATGGGGATGATAATATTTTAAAGATGATGTAACATAGGGAATTAAAATATTTAACGGTCAATTTTATTTATTTCTTTATTCTGTTCTGTGGAATTAAAATATTTAACGGTCAATTTTATTTATTTCTTTATTCTGTTCTGATGCTTTATGAGCATTTAGGTTTTAATATACACACATATTTTTTTTTTCCAGCTTGAAATCGACATTTTGAAGGCCCATAATTTTAGACTTCTGAATTTTCCACCTTTAATGAAAGCAGTAAGTAACAGTTGTTTACAGTAAAGTTTTTGCTGTCACTTGCATGATCAGTGAGAAACAAAACCTGTTTGTGCTGTCTGTAGTTACTACTTATTTAGGATAGGGAGAACAGAGGGTCTTGAGTCTGAGGATGCGGTGCTGTACGGCATCCATAGTCACCACAAATATCATCGGTGACCGGGTTGCCCATTGGCTGGCTGGTAGACAACTTTGTTGCTGGTCTCTCTCCTTTGATCGCATCAACACTGCAGGAGTTATTTCCAGGGCTCTTGGTGGCTGGCAGTGCTAAGCCATTTTTATATGGCGCACCTACCTAGTCACAATTATAACCTAAAGCTATCACTTTGGAAGGGGGAAGAGGGGGGGGGGGGGGGTTGCTGATTGAATATGACAATTTTTTTAAATTTCACTTTAGGATTTTTAATTTTACCCTCTCCCCCTTTTTCCCCCTACATATAAGATCTATATTGCCTTATAGAAGACTAAAACTTGGATCTCCTGCTTGAGAGGCCAACACTATAACCACTCAACCTGCTGGATTAGTGAATGGTCAGATGATGAGCCCATTCTTCTTCTTCTTCTTTGGATTTACCAACTATAAACTTCAGGAAAGAGTTCTTGTTGTTCATCCATTTCTGGATTTTAGTTGTGTTCTAGAAACCGAGTTTTGTGTGCACATCTACTTTACAGATCTGGCTGATTTATATGCAGACTGTTGGTTCTTCGCCTCTCAGGCAGATGCATTCCAACTTTGAAGGAAATACCCCTAATTAGTTAATTTGTATGACATGCTTGTTGGGGAAAAGAGGGGGGGGGGGGGGGTGGTTAGCAGGCCATAAAAGAGACTAATTAGAAGTTTGCTGAAATAGGATTTGTTGGGGTAAAAAGGCATAGGTATTGCAGCCGAGCTGTAAACCACAACACAGCATGTCAGCCACCCTATTTAAAAAAACATTATGGCACTTTAAAAAAAACTAGTTTGTTCCTTTATGTATTCCTTGTTTGCTTCTATTGTTTGATTTTTAAATGCTACCTGGTGCATATGTTTCTGTGCCTGATGTATTTTTTTAAAACTGGTTAACTTATGAGTTTATTAATTACTGTTAGAAAAAACATGTTGATTTCATGCTATTATAGTTTCGATTCTTTTCTATCATTGTCACTATATTTGTACTGATAGTATTTATTTGAATAATGCTTTGTGGAATCATTTCTTTTTTCTTCAAAGGCAGATCAAAGTTCTGTCTCTCATGACAGAGAAACAGTCTCAATTGTTTTGATATTCGGTCATCATTTGCGAAAAGGTACCAGTCCAGAGGTATGTCACATATTGTGTAAACTATAAGTAGCTGACAGAAACATTGGTTCTCACTTTGTGTTCTTCCCAAATCTGCCACTGTTATTGTTGAAATGAAAGAAATTTATTGATAAACATGTCTGTAACTTAGATTAATGCTTCAGGGTCATACTGAAACAATGACATTTGTCTATCTAATGTGAATGTAAAGGAAACAATTAAAAGTTACATCATGATATAGGTTTAAAGGTAATGGGTAAGATCTAGGGAAACAAAACGTTGGAAAATATAGAAAAAATATTTATAATGAAATAATTTATCTAGGAAAGAATTATTTGAAATTTATTTATAGTTTGATCATTTCAAATTTCAAATCAACATTAATTTGTTTCAGAATTGATATTTACCGTATTGGTCAGGTTTATCGCTATTGTATGTTTTTTTTGTTTTTTTAAATCGTGTTTGTGACATTGTTTTAAATATATAAAGTTGAACATTCGATATACACCTATCTTTTTTTCTTCTTAAAATCCATGCTGTGCGGCATTGGTAGTCATGTTTGTCCACAACATGCTGTCTTGTTTTTACTTTCAGTCAACTCTGACACAGATGATCTTTCATACCATAATTTCAAACTGTCAAAAATATTTTCTCCAGGTATACACTCATCAGTGAAAAGAAAATTCATTGCCTGCAGTTGACTTCTTACTGTATATTTATTACTGTAGCAATTTATTATTTGCAAGGGTGCTTAGAATTATTTCTTGTTTTATTTTCTCTGTTTCTTCTGGTGTTGAGGAAGATACACGGTCTGTTTGTTTTTTCTGGTGTTGAGGAAGATACAGGGTCTGTTTGTTTTTTCTGGTGTTGAGGAAGATACAGGGTCTGTTTGTTTTTTCTGGTGTTTCTTTTTTTGAGGAAGATACAGGGTCTGTTTGTTTTTTTCTGGTGTTGAGAAAGATACACGGTTCTGTTTTTTTTTTCTGGTGTTGAGGAAGATACAGGGTCTGTTTGTTTTTTCTGGTGTTGAGGAAGATACAGGGTCTGTTTGTTTTTTCTGGTGTTGAGGAAGATACAGGGTCTGTTTGTTTTTTCTGGTGTTGAGGAAGATACACGGTCTGTTTGTTTTTTCTGGTGTTGAGGAAGATACAGGGTCTGTTTGTTTTTTCTGGTGTTGAGGAAGATACAGGGTCTGTTTGTTTTTTCTGGTGTTGAGGAAGATACAGGGTCTGTTTGTTTTTTCTGGTGTTGAGGAAGATACACGGTCTGTTTGTTTTTTCTGGTGTTGAGGAAGATACAGGGTCTGTTTGTTTTTTCTGGTGTTGAGGAAGATACAGGGTCTGTTTGTTTTTTCTGGTGTTGAGGAAGATACAGGGTCTGTTTGTTTTTTTGGTGTTGAGGAAGATACACGGTCTGTTTGTTTTTTTCTGGTGTTGAGGAAGATTACACGGTCTGTTTGTTTTTTCTGGTGTTGAGGAAGATACAGGGTCTGTTTGTTTTTTTTCGGTGTTGAGGAAGATAACAGGGTCTGTTTGTTTTTTTCTGGTGTTGAGGAAGATACAGGGTCTGTTTGTTTTTTCTGGTGTTGAGGAAGATACACGGTCTGTTTGTTTTTTCTGGTGTTGAGGAAGATACACGGTCTGTTTGTTTTTTCTGGTGTTGAGGAAGATACAGGGTTCTGGTTTTGGCTGCCTTGATCATAGCCATTTCTCTGATGTTTTCTCTGATTAGAAGAAGATCATGGCATTTATGAGAATACCTAATGTGCTGTGAAAATTCTCCTGAAATAAATAATAATGTTATTGTTCCACTGGTACTTGATCTACCTCAGGCTCTAAATCTCTTTCATCTGCAGGTATATACCTTGTATTTTAAGTCATCACAAGACATTCTGTTTAATAGGGCAATTCATTTTATTTGCTTTCTTTCAGTGTTGGTTCTATGACTACTTTTTTCTTTTATTGCATTTTTCTATTCCTCGTGTTCATTTTCCTGTAATAAATTGTTTTGTGTTTCTACTCGTTGTCTAGGCAGTGTTCATGCGTGTGTGGTGGATGATATTCTCACACGCACCACGTTACACAACTGGCACAAGCCGACACCGATGTGAGCTTACGAGACATGAATTTATTGACGTATTAAGACTTACGACAAACGAATAGTCCAGTCGGTGTCCTAGTGAACAGCTTTCGTACACAAACTCACGCAGCCTTCAACGAACAGTCTTCTGCAGCAGGCATTCAAGCAACGATGGGTTCCATGGATTCAACATTGATGTTTGGACATCTCACACGCTGGCATGGTCGATCTCAGCTCAACACTTCGTCGGCAGGTCTCCTTTCTCCTCAGGCATTCACGTAGACATTCGCACATTCAGTCGCTCGTCCTCTCGCTCCAACAGGTCGACACAAACTAAACTTGACCAGAGTCAAGTCTGACTTATACCACGGGTTCGTTTCACGTGACAACACGTGGTGGTCCTTTACTTTTCCCGTGGCGACCTTGGGTCGCATCACCGTGGTCCCCTTGATAACTAGTGGCTAGTCACCTATCTCCAGATTCTCGTTTAATCCAAGTATCTGGACTATCTCGGTGTTTTCGGTCAGCTTTGGGCCTTCCCCCCAACCATCCTAAACTGGGTCGAAAATATCCCCCATTACATATTTAATAATTTTTTTTACACATTCATGGACAACAGGTGACTGAGAGGATATAATAATGCTCTTTGTAATAAGGTTAATAACCTTCTAAATCTTGATAAAGCAAGGGATTATATTTTTTCAGTATTGTCATAAAAGGAAATTTGATAATATTGATCACAAGCAATTTCTTTGTTTCCTTTGCTATACATGCCACTGTGTTGTAACCTATCTCTTGATGTTGTCTGTATATTTTAACACTTTCTAGAACTTTTGCTGTCATCTTTTCCTTCCAATATAGCCTTTTCCTCCCTTAGATTTTTATGTTTCATGTGACCTGGTAGTCTGGTAGTCTTAGTTTCAGCTTCATAGCAAACGGGTCACCCCATCTTTGCTCCGCTCCTGTGCCAACGAAAAACACACAGAATGTTTATCACAGTATTAGAATTGCAGTTCATCATTGATGGTAGCAGAAGTCGCCAACAGATCATCAGTTGCCCACGCGATAAATTTTAATCACATACGGGCACCACAACACTGCACGACAGGCATTGCGCCATTTTCTGAATCTACAGTTCATTCACACCAACACGTTGGTCACAGTCGAAAAAACATTCCAAATGCAATCAGCAGCTCACAGGGTCACACCATGCATTCAACTCAGAAGCTGGGCGACGAAACTATATCCAGTCTACAAATGGAACAAAAATGCATCGGCCACCGTCCGGCAGAAGCAAAAAAAATTTGCCTCTGTTTCCAACAGTGCCGCTGCCTTACGTCCATTTTGACCGGAAGTTTGACATGGAAATTTCTATTCATGATTATGAGACAGCTTATGCCCCCGACCTTTACAATTTTTCGGCCCACAGGCAAAGGGGGAGGGGCAAAGCTAGGGGTTCTAGTAACCGAAATCCCAGGTTCCAGGAATTCTGTAACTAGAACATAAAACAATAAATAAATAAATAAATAAATAAATAAACAAATGACTCCTTTTCACCGTCCGGCAGAAGCAAAAAAATGTACCTCTGTTTCGAACAGTGCTGCTGCCTAACGTCCATTTTGACCGGAAGTCTCATGTGACCAAAGTACATTGTCTTTTCTATTTTTTTTTTTTCCAACATTGCAGTTTATATGAATTCTTCTAGAATTCAGATTTTTCTTCTTTTCCATAGAAACTCTAGCCATATTTCAAAAGCCCTAACAATTTTATAATACATCTTTTTAATCACACTTCATATATCCAATGTATATATTAAAAAAGCCAAGAAGTTATGAGATAAAAAGCCGAAATGACATAGAAGTTCTATGTACAAATCCCCCCCCCCCCCCCCCCGCCCCTCCCGACACGTTTTTTTTATCATACATACAAGTATAGATCAAAATCAGTAAAGCATTCAAAATTAATGAGGAAAGTAACTCCTTTTTGCAGATGACCAAGTTTTCATAGAATCTACAGGGGAAAATCTGCAGAGATACCTGGATAATTTCACTATAGCACCAAAAAGTTCTAACAAAAGTTGAATTATAACAATTAAAGGTCACACTACTGAAAAGCACTATTCTAACATATAACAATTGACACTACATAAACACTATTCTAACATATAACAATTGACACTACAGAAGCATGCAGATATTCTAACATATAACAATTGACACTACAGAAGCACTATTCTAACATATAACAATTGACACTACAGAAGCACTATTCTAACATATAACAAACATTGACACTACAAAAGCACTATTCTAACATATAACAATTGACACTACAGAAAGCACTATTCTAACATATAACAATTGACACTACAGAAGCACTATTCTAACATATAACAATTGACACTACAGAAGCACTATTCTAACATATAACAATTGACACTACAGAAGCACTATTCTAAACATATAACAATTGACACTACAAAAGCACTATTCTAACATAACAATACTACAAAAGCACTAACAATTGACACTACAAAAGCACTATTCTAACATATAACAATTGACACTACAAAAGCATATTCTAACATATAACAATTGACACTACAGAAGCACTATTCTAACATATAACAATTGACACTACAGAAGCACTATTCTAACATATAACAATTGACACTACAGAAGCACTATTCTAACATATAACAATTGACACTACAGAAGCACTATTCTAACATATAACAATTGACACTACAGAAGCACTATTCTAACATATAACAATTGACACTACAGAAGCACTATTCTAACATATAACAATTGACACTACAGAAGCACTATTCTAACATATAACAATTGACACTACAGAAGCACTATTCTAACATATAACAATTGACACTACAGAAGCACTATTCTAACATATAACAATTGACACTACAGAAGCACTATTCT